AAAAATGGTTAGCAATAGCAATAGAGAATTCCGGAAGTCTTGGTGTTGAACTATGACAAGCACCTGATTCAAATATTGTTTTATTCCTGGTGGGACACACGCAAGGTGCAATTTATATCGATAACGAACGCAGGGTGGTTACTGATATCAGAGCATAATGAATTGTTACGAGGTGAACAATATTTGTTCGATGTTTCTCGGGAGAGGATTTGTTTGGCGAGGGTGTCGTCGAGCGGATCAATTGCCCGTAAGAAAAAAGCGTAGTGCTTATAATGAGTTCTTTGTGGTTAGCATTCTTACATCTCGACAAAGACCGTCAATGATGGGACATTATGTTTTCACTGTGAATGGAAGATCACGAATTGCTTACTTTGATTCTTATGGAATTCAACCGCATATTTATTCTCCATGGATCAGTATTAAGAAAAGTTTTCTCAATATCAGCAAGTCGCTACAGAGTCTTGATACTTTAGCTTGTCGAGCATGCGCCAGTTTCGTTATGTACAACATTTACACGGGGTAGAAAACATTAGTCAAATATCGTGCAGGTATTTTTCGAAGAATGACTTTAGATATAACGATAAAAAGGTAATAAAGTTTTTATAAAGACATTTTAAAATGCCGAGATGTGAGAGATTGTTCTGCGATCGTAAGCTTAGCAAAGCAGAATGTCAAAAACTGTATTGCATGTGAAGGGGAAATTGTCTGTCCTTTCCCGTGGTAATTACCAGTCCTTTCCCGGGGTAATGATCTGTCCTTTCTCATACCTCGATTTATTACGTTTTTCCTGGTTGGCGGACCAGGAATAGATGCGACGGGGGTAAAAAAAATAATAATAAAAAAAAATAATAATAAAAAACGCGCTGATTCGGACAATAGGCTTATTCTGCTTTTCGCGAAGAAAAGAACAATCCACCACGAATTCCCTCGTCCGGCCTTGAATGCTTTGGCTGGGGTAAGTAATTTCTGTGTTGGTGTCTTAATGCTTATCTTTATATTATTTCAAAACTGATTATTTCTATTGTCTGCGATATTTGTATATGTCATGATAAACACCTCTGTTGTTTATGTACACTATTCAATTCTGTGTTTCTCGATTTTCAGCTGTGACGGAGGCTAATGTCCCTGTGATGTTCGTGGCAACACAGGAGGAAAAACTATCGTCGGCAGCTAACGGTGAGTATAATCTGAACGTGCTCTGATATCATTTTTCATCATTAAAATTAAACTATTTTTAAGGCATGTGCTCTCTGTCATTCATAACAACGATCAGTTTCTGCTTTAACCGAGAGTATATTCTGAACAAGGTCTGTTATTATTTCTATCATTAAAACTGAACTATTTCAGGGAACGGGATGTGATTTCATTCATAACAAGTAATAGTTTTGGGTGTCTGATTTTTTTTTTTTTTTTTTTTTTTTTTTTTTTTTTTTTTTTTTTTTCAAGTTGCAGCTCTGTGCGGAAGTAAAGGAGTTTCTGTCACTTTTGCCGCCGATCCTGACGCGCAAATAAGATCTGGGTCTCCGTCGGACGAGGACGTGAAGGAAACTAACGTTGCATATAAAGCGACGAGGCTACTGAGAACCTGGCAGTCAGGCATCAGGCAAGGGGCGGGGCACCGGTCTTCTCCTCGCTCTCACTCTGTTTCTGTTTCTCTCTCTCCTTCTGGCATGCAATTTTTTTCACTGCTATTGGCTCTTCTATACTTACCCAACTTCTGATTCTTCTGCTACATAGAGAGTTGACTCCATCATGGCAACACTGAAAAGACTACGAGTTTGCAGATACATGAGGTTGGTTCATTTCCGTGTTCACATATACATACACAGACACATGTCTACGCCCACGCCCAAGTACATACACATATAGGTGTGTGTGTGTATGTGTGCATATACATATATGTTTGCATATATTTGTATACATTATCTCTCTCTCTCTCTCTCTCTCTCTCTCTCTCTCTCTCTCTCTCTCTCTCTCTCTCTATATATATATATATATATATATATATATAATATATATATATATATATATATATACATATATACATATATATATATTATTATATATATATATATATATATATATATATACTAATACACACACGAACACACACATACACACACGCAATTATTCACATGTCTATCTATCTATAAACTTTCATGCAGACATATACGTAAACACACACATATATACACACATATATACATATATAAACACATACACACACACACACACAATCACACACGCACACATATATATATATTTGTAAGTATGTATATATGTCTGTGTGCATATATTTATAAATATATAAGGCCTTTTTTGTAACCTCACAAAGGCCTTACCACTTTGTTGCACTCTTTGTTGTTGGCTTGTGGTCGCTGCAAAACGCGAGATCAGCGGAAGTTGAAACCGTCTTTTCTATTTATATAAAAAGTTAATAGAAAACCATTAAACTACTTAATATGACATTTTTTTTATATCAAAAGCACAGCATGGGAGC